ATTCTTTGGTTACAATAATAATACAGTTCTGTTTCCTGGTGAGTGAGTGTGTGCTGTTTTGAGTGATAATTAGACTTCTTGACTAAAGAAGCCTAACAAATTGGTCCGACTTGCCGGATCCGCTTGGGAGGGGACTGCTAGATATCCTTAGGAGAGGAGTGTTGGGTCACTGGGAGAGAAGCATGATGGAAGGAAGAATGAAGGCTTTGGAGGGAAGGGTGGATGGAAGAATAAATGCCCTAGAGGGAAGGATGGATTCTGTGAAGAGGTGAGCCAACGAACAGAAAAGGGAGCTAGCAGAAGGGAGAAGAAACATGCAAGAAATGAGAGAAATGCTGCAAGAAATCCAGATTCACATAAAGGGCTTAGAAAGAAGAGAGAAATTTGTCATGAAAGGAAAGAAAGAGGGAGAAACAGGTAAGGATGTTGTGCAAGATAGTCTGCTAGACATCAAGAAAGCCAAGAAACCCTCGTATGGAGGAGAAAGTTCAACCAATAGTGAGAAGAAAAGAGAAACGGAAGCTGCAGTTTTGAGTGTTGATGGTTTTGCAAGAATTAGAGGGCAGGATAGGAGAGAAGAAAATATAAGTAGAGAGGAAGGCAACGACAAAAACTATGATGGAGACATTCGTGTGACTGCTGCTGAAAAAGTTGCAAAAGCTATTGTTTTTACTGCGGCTGAGAAAGTAGCAAAAGCTGCTGTTTTTATTGCTGCTGAGAAAGTTGCAAAAGTTGTTGTTTTTAGTGGAGATAGTGTGGTAGGTTGTGGTGAGTATGTCAAAACAGTGAAGAAGGTTGGAAGAATTGTTGAGGCCTGGGGTTAAAACAGTGGTGTCAAAGAGCAACCCAGTTGAGTCAGTTTACAGAGTAAGAGAGGACCTGCTGCAAGATATCAAGAAAGGAAAGAAACACTCAGGTGGAGGAGAAAATTCAAGCAATTGGGAGCAAAAAGAGGAGGATGCCATTGACAATAATGGAGCTAGGAAGGGTGAGGAGACACTAGTTTTTTCGTGGGTGAAAAGAGAAGAGTTGACCACTTATGAAAGGATTGACACCCAAGATCAAACAATAGGGGCAACAAATGCTTCTGAAGTTCAAAACTCTAAAGGATCAACAAAAGCACACTCAAACAGCGAAGAAAATGTAGTCCAGGGGTGCAAGACTGGGCATCAAAAATCCAAGAACCTTTCTTGGAAAAATCTGGCTACAACTCTACTAAAGATAGTTGAAGGGAACAGAAGAAGCATTCTATGTGAGAGAGAGTTGGGCAGCAGTAACCTAGATGAGGAGTGTGGAAATTTTACATGCGAGTTTGCAAGTAGATGAAGCAGTTGCCAAAAGTCTTGTGGCTACAAGAGCCGATGAAGTCAAAGTTGAGATTTTGAGGATTTCACAAAATTGGGCTAAAAGAATCCAGGAAGAGTGGAAGTCACTAGAGGAGGATTTGCCACCACCCAAGCCTCCAAACCTGAATTGGAGGGCAACGGCCACCACTCAAGCCCCCAGATTTAAAATTGCAAACAGTAGCAGTGGTATTGGATGGTTTGACAGCAATAACAGGGACGGGGAGTGGGAAAACTTTCATCCAAAAACAACCTCTATATTCTTAACCTAATTTCAAAAACAACCTCTATAAATAAAGTGATAGGCTTTCATTTGAATATACAAGAGTTGGGTTATAACTCTGAGGGGAAAAGCTTTGAAAACCTAGTACAGGTAGAGTGATAACTTTCATCAAGTGTAATTTTAAGCGACTGAGTGTTGTTACTATTGCTAAGTGAAGTTGTTCATTCTTAGTATGACTCAAAGGAAGTGTTTCATTCCTTGTGGTTTCAAGGAAAGTGTTCTTAATCTTTTGTAGTTCTTCAAGAGAGGCGTGTTAACCTTCCTAAATTCTTCGTTCCATTAGTGTTTGTAATTTCAATATATTTTTAGTGTTTAGTTAATCTCTCATTTAAGAGTGATTAACAATTGGACGGAGGATCTTCTGATCTGAACTAGTGTAAAATAACTTATACAATTTTTTCTTCACCGATCTCTTCATTTTATTGTGATTATTGAAATAAAGGAAAGTATTTTTTTTAATTGAACTCTTATTTTTAAGGGAAAATTTTAAAGCACAATTTTTATTATGAAACCAATACACTCCTTCTTGATTTTGTCCAAACACAAATATTCAGCTGTGTAATGATTCTAACACAGGCAGTACGGTATACAACACAGTATGGATGTATAGAATATTGATTCATACACTTTTAAATTGATGAATTTAGTCATTTGTAGAATTGCCTAGATTTTTAAACAAGAACCATTAGTCATTATAGAATTGCCTAAAGTTCACCATCTAACACATCATCGGAACAACATAACTTTCAACTCTGGTTCATCAAGATACAACTTAGCTAATTCAAGTCCAGCATCATCAAGTGGACCATTTGCATCTCCACTAATGTTCCACAACCTTGTCTCTCCTCTACTATTCTTAAATCTTTCCTAGATAAAAGTTGAACATTAGTAGTATACCATAATGCACATAAACAAAAGCCTATGGCCTTAAGGAATCCATTTTGTTTCTCTTCAGAGAATGAATAAAAGAATAGGTACCCCAATTCCTCTTACAGCATTATGCTGGACACAATTATTTTTGCACTTTTCGAATAGCGAGAGCACATAGATGATAAGCACTAAAGAAACTGAGGAAATATATCTCTTTGCAGGTTGTAATGTTGCTCCAGTCTTGAAACTTTTTATTCTAGACAAACCCTCAATCCATTGAAAATCGAATCCATGCACCACTGACTAATACAAGACGAACCTAAATTTGGCTCAACCAAGGAACAGCAAACTTAAGAACTTGAAATGTGATACCTGGATGTCAGTGGCCACAGAAGCCTTGCTGGATGTCAGTCACTGTCAAGTGCCACGCGTCCTGGGGGGCTAAATTGCTCTACATTCACATAAGGCAGGAAATGCCCATGTGAAAGGTTAATTCTACCAAGGTTAGGCGACTTACAGCCTGACTCTTATAAGAGAACCACATTTCTTGCCGCTATTTCAATAAATGCCAGCATGCTGTTAGTATGAGCACCCTGGCGTGACTATAAAACAGTAAGGAGATCACAAGCGTAGTTGGTTGATAACATCAACTGACCCAGCCTCGTCTAATTTTTGTCCCCAATGCTTTTAAATAGCTGAAACGCAGAAGAGACTTTCTGCCAATACTTTGTCGGAAGCTTACTAACTTGAGTGCTGGACTACCCAAGTAGGTAGCAACCGCTGCTGCGGTAAGAATATAAAAGGGTGTTTCATACTTACCACGGATAAAACGAAACTCAGTTGCCAACTTAGCCTATACAATCAGCACCTTCCCCATTCTAGTTCAACCTAACATTTTCCAATCCCAAAAGGATTAAACTATCATTCTGCTGCTGTAAGTATAATAACCTTTCTATACACTTACAATATTCGATTAAGAGACTAGCAGTGGCATCACATCCATCATATCATTTTCCTCTAAACACAAGAAACTGTTTATTACCAATTCTGCCAGTTCTAAAACTAATTTTCCAATGAGCAAAACGTCGAGTCATGCATTCATGAAAATAAACAAAAATCAAAAGTGTGAATTGACTAACCTCTGTCCTAGCAGTTAAGACATCTTGAAGATGCTTCGTGGCTCCCATAAGTTTGCTCTTCAAGTCATCACAAACCGCGGTTGAATGCACAATCCTATCCTGCGAGTAACTTCCATCAGCCATGTCCATGTTCTGAATGGCTTGCAAATCGGAGAGAGCCGAATTGAGCGCCGTGATCTCGTTCTTAATCAGCACAGTCAGCTCCTGAATCTCCACGGCCGGATCGTTGAACATGGACGACCTCCTCGCCAGCTGCGCGAGCCTCGCCACCTTCTGTGAGGTTTCATTTATCCCCAACCCGATTCGTGAGGCCTTTCGGTTGAATTCAGATCTTGAATAGGAATCGTGAGAGGTGGAAGAAGCAATCTCGGGTTGAACTGAAGGCGAGGTCCCTCCTTCGATCTTCTTCAGAGTCTCCGACAGTAACCGGAACTCCGAGGTGCGGTCACGGTAAGAGGAAGCCATCGGAGACACGTACGTTCGTTCCAATTCCAAGATCTCATGAAGGATTTCATTTCAGGGGACGCCCCAACTAACTTAAGCCTTTCACTTTCTGCACCCCACAATTTCTTCCCGCAGCCCACAAATATTTAAAATAACATTTTAACTCTCTAAAAAAGTGATTTTCGAAATATATATTTTGAAAACATTTTGAATTTTTTTTTTCAAAATTCAATTTCTGAAAAGAATGAAGTATATTTTGAAATTCCATGTATATTTGATTGTATATACTTTTTGCACCAAAGTCTAGAATCTTTCTTTATTATTTTTCTTATAGAAAAAATATTTTTTTTTATGAGAAAAATGTTTTTAGTTCTTATGTGCTCGGTAAACTTACTTTTTAGTCCCTATACATTCACATTTATGAATTTTGTCCTCCATTTTCTATAATATTTAAATTTAGTCATTTCGTATACTTAAACCTAATATCTAGTAATGGCTTTTGGCCACCATAAAATTGAAGATAGTAAATTTACATGTTGTTTTAGAGTGATACATAAAATTAAAGATAGAAAATTTACATATTGTTTTTTACCAAAAGTATCCAAACCAAAACCAATATTTTCTATTTTCTAACTTTTACGATTAAACCGACTTTTGTTCTGATTCTATTTTAGTCATATAAAATTGTTATTTAAAATATGCATTTGAGAGTATTTGTAACACTATGTTAATGATTATTATTCGATTTGTTTTTTTTATATATATATTTTTCCATTGAAAACTACCCAAAAAAAATGTTATGTTAGAAGCCCATTGGGCCTCTGTAAACTCAAGCCGTCCGATTAGTTACATGAAATGAATCACAACCGTGGGATTTAGGTTTCTCAAAAACCCAAATTCTTTACTTATAACCTCCCCATGCTACGGTTTTCTTTTCCTCGCTTCCATTCCGCTCCCTACCCTCACAGTCTTCCGCACCACACCTCAAAGAAGAAGAGGTTAAAGAGACGGCGCCGTTTTGCTGTCCGCCTTGACCGAGCAGAGCTTCGTCTTGGCCCTCGATTTTGCCGTGCAAAACTCACGGTCACAGACAACCCCGTCGTCATCATCAACAACAATGGCCCCAAAACAAACAAAGGCAGAGAAGAAGATAGCTTACGATGGGAAGCTGTGCCAGCTTCTCGAAGAATACGGTCAAATCCTCGTGGTCAACGCCGACAACGTGGGGTCAAACCAGCTCCAGAACATTCGCAAGGGTCTCCGCGGAGACTCTGTCGTCCTCATGGGGAAGAACACCATGATGAAGCGCTCCGTCAGAATGCACGCTGAGAAAACCGGCAACAACGTGTATCTCAGCCTCATCCCTCTCCTTGTCGTGAGTTCCCCTTTCTCCTTAATCTGTTTAAGCTTTCACTGTTTTGCATATGCTTGTTTTGTTCAATTAATAGCAATGAGTCTTGGTGTTTTAATTGCCTGGTTGACAGAACGTGTTTTGCGTTGTATTAGGGCAATGTGGGTTTGATTTTCACCAAGGGCGACTTGAAGGAGGTCAGTGAGGAGGTTGCAAAATACAAGGTAAAGTGATATTTTTCATCCTCTTTTATTTTATATTCTTTTTTTTTTTTTTACATTTTGTATATTGGGTAATGTTGCTTCTTTACCATTGCTTTAAGAATTTGTGGACTCATTTTAGTAAATGTATCTCTTTAGTAGTTGTTTCTATTGTTATAGTATCATGATCTGGATTACTTCGTGATTGTAAGGTGCTAATAATAAGTGTATTTTTGAACAATTTGTTTGTGAATTTTTTGTTTAAAACTCTTTTTTCGAGCTGTTAAGGATAGGGGAGTTACATTTTGCTGGTTTCTTGTTTTACAAGTATTAGTTTCAATTTTCTATTTTTGCAACTGATGTCTAGTGTTTGTATTTCCCTTTAATTGAATGTTCGTTCAAACATTGTTCCTTCAACAGGTTGGAGCACCTGCTCGTGTTGGTTTGGTTGCACCAATTGATGTCGTTGTTCCTCCTGGCAACACTGGTCTCGATCCATCTCAGACCTCTTTCTTCCAGGTTAGTTATTTCTTAAAATCTAATCTCTATAGTGAAAAAGGAGGGGCTAAAGTGTTAAAACTCTAGTAGTAATAAACCAAATTTTTAGGATGCTCTTTATTTAGAAACTGAGAAATAATACCATTTTAAAGAGTTTTTAAAAATTGCTCTAATCAATTATGAATTTCTGTTTTCTGAAACATAATAAGTAGTTCTTAAATTATTATTGTTGTTATTATTATTATTATTTATTTGGATTGTATATTTGCGTGTGTTCTATTTAGGTCCTTAACATTCCGACCAAGATTAACAAGGGTACTGTGGAAATCATTACCCCTGTGGAACTCATTAGGNCCAATTGATGTCGTTGTTCCTCCTGGCAACACAGGTCTCGATCCATCTCAGACCTCTTTCTTCCAGGTTAGTTATTTCTTAAAATCTAATCTCTATAGTGAAAAAGGAGGGGCTAAAGTGTTAAAACTCTAGTAGTAATAAACCAAATTTTTAGGATGCTCTTTATTTAGAAACTGAGAAATAATACCATTTTAAAGAGTTTTTAAAAATTGCTCTAATCAATTATGAATTTCTGTTTTCTGAAACATAATAAGTAGTTCTTAAATTATTATTGTTGTTATTATTATTATTATTTATTTGGATTGTATATTTGCGTGTGTTCTATTTAGGTCCTTAACATTCCGACCAAGATTAACAAGGGTACTGTGGAAATCATTACCCCTGTGGAACTCATTAGGAAGGGAGAAAAGGTTGGATCTTCCGAAGCTGCATTGCTTGCCAAGCTTGGCATTAGGCCTTTCTCTTATGGGCTTGTGGTCCTTTCTGTTTATGATAATGGCTCTGTGTTTAGCCCTGAGGTCCTTGATCTTACCGAGGATGACCTCATTGAGAAGTTTGTTGCTGGTGTTTCGATCGCTACTTCTCTTTCATTGGCTATCTCATTCCCAACCCTTGCAGCTGCACCACATATGTTTGTGAACGCCTACAAGAATGTTCTATCTGTTGCTGTTGAGATAGATTATTCTTTCCCTGAGGCAGACAAGGTCAAGGAGTATCTCAAGGTAATATTTTTTACGTTTTGACTGTGTAGGTTGTCTCCCCATCTTATTTATTACGAGTTTTTATTCTAAATGCAGGACCCAAGCAAATTTGCAGTAGCTGCTGTTGCTGCTCCTGCTGCTGATTCTGGTGCTCCAGCTGCTGCAGCAAAGGAAGAGGAAAAGAAGGAAGAGCCAGCTGAAGAATCTGATGATGACATGGGTTTCAGTTTGTTTGACTAAATTATGAATGCTTATTGAGGTTGCTTTTCAAGTTTTTTCTTTTTTGATGTTTGAATTGCTGAACCTGTTTTTGGTTTTAGGTGTTGTATTGTTTCGCCGTTTTTCCTATTCATGTTATATTCTGACTAGTTTTCTAATTTAAATTTTCCAAGTTATAACACTTACATTGGTGTTCCTTTGCTCTGCAAAATAGTTAACTTTAGAAAATGCAATTTATTGTTGGATATTTAGTTTTCATAAGTCACTGACTGATAAATTTCATATCGAATGATTTAACGCTAGAATCCCCGGACTGATAAATTTCATGAGTTGCTGTTCTTTTATAAAATTAGGAAGTTACGTTTCTTATTCTTAGCCAAACGGATAATGTGATTGTGAATTTGAACAAAGATAGTTTAAGTGTGATATGTGTCGAAGTTAAATGATGATGATGATTGTTAAATTATATGTGCACCAACGTTTCGTATCACGATATAGTGACCTTGTTAAACAATTTAATCTGTATTATATTTCATTTATTTTGAATATTTTTTGTCACTTTACATAATTTTATATTACGAACTTTTCTAAAAAAACTTACCTTAATTTATTTTGGTTGCTGAAACTCTAACTTGTAACTCAACATTTAAATCATTTTTTAATCTTGTAGTCATACAATGCCAATTGAATGGAGGACCGTGCTGATGTTTACTATCTTGTATTTCAATTTCTTTAAAAAATTGTTGAAGTTTTTATCCAAAACCAGAATAGAACATGTTTAAAGGAATTATTACGTCATTTAAAAGAATTATGTAGGTTAGTTAAAATGATTTTCTAAGACTTGCATATTAAAAATTCAAATAAAATCTTGAAATAAATTATTTTTACAAACAAAAGATGAAATTTCAGAGTAAAATTGTTGGGTTCTTTTTAATTTTGTTAGAGTAGAAATAAAGTAAGATTTCACTATTATAACTTTCTTTTACCTTCTTTTACGGGAGAATAAATTTTAAGAGAATACACTCCTTTCAATTAGAAGATTATGTTTCATATTAAGAGATATAAACTCCTAAAAATTTTCACTTCCATTGGTAGTTATTAAAACCTATTTCACCATGTTATTTACAATTTAATCCTTAGATCAGGTATATATTAAAGATATTTCAATATTTAATATTTAAGTTAATTAGGTATTCAATCAATTTAGCATGTTATAGTAAATGTGTTGTAAAAAGTTTCATATTTATAGATTTTTCTATGAGTTCTTTATTATGGTTGGTCTAATTATAGCTTAATTTTGTTAAATTTGATTATTAACCTGTTTAAGCTTAGTTGGCTTATTAGTTAATTCTTATCGATATCGATCGGTTTACTTTTAGTTCAGACGATTGATTTGGGATAGTCCGGTCGGTATTTACCGATCGATGTATATACATTATATGGACCTCCTAAGCGTTGTATTTGGACTAATTTAACAAGCGAAAATGGATTGTCAATATGTTGGTGATAGGAGATTGTGTTGCTTCGTGAATTGCAATGATGCCTAATTCAGTTGTTATATTTGTTCGGCTCGTCTTTAAAAATATGACGATTAAGTTAGAGATATAACCATTAGGGCTGAAGGGTCTTTGCCTCACTAAACGAGTTTTTCGCTTTAACACCAAATGCAAGGCTGCCCTTTACTGTTGGATGTTGAGGATCCAACGGTTGTAGTAGCGCAACGTGTCCTCAAGAATTCCTATAAATAAGAGTGAGGTAGTCCCGTCATTTTCATCATTTTTGCTTTAATTTTCATCTTGCACCGTTCGATATCCAATTCTTTCTTCTATAGGTAATAATGTTTGGCATCGAAATTTCTTTAGAAGGATTTTTTGGTTAGGAGGGCACTTGGTACGTTGATGACGTGTCTGCGTCTTCCTTGTAACTCAAGTCGTCATTGAGTGATTGAGGGTCATCTAAGAGAAGTTTGGCGTCTATAAATAGTATTACAACACTTATTCAACATGCTAATAAGGGTTTGGTTAGAGAAGAGGGTCCAATTGGAGAACAAGGTCTGAGAAAGGACTTTGCAGAGCAAATGAGCGACGACACGTTGGAGAAGTCCAAGTGGATACAATTACTGAAAGGGACGAACAAAACATGCCTGAAGTCCCTTGGTACGCATGGGCTGCACATGAGGTGCATGAGTTTGCCACCTGCTTCAGGTGCAACAATGATTTGGTGGACCTCAGTGGTTGAACCTACATTTTAAAGGACAACGTAGGAGACGACTCTATGCATCTCCATGTCTACCAATGTAACGATCAAGTATGTCATGACAAAGGGAATTTAAAATTGGATTTGGTCTTTGTCTACTCTTGCCTCCTTACAGACTTGTATGTGTGCCTCTTATTCCATGACTTCCAAGCTGAGGTTATATAAGAGTTGAACATTGCTTCCATGCAACTTCACCTGAACTCTTGGGCGACAATACAGGCGTTTGGTGTCTTGTGTAAGGCTTTGGGTATCAATCCTACCCATGCCTTGTTCCTCCACCATTACCGCACCCATCTAAATGCTCAAAAAGAATGAGCGTCATCAATAAGTGAAAACAATAAAAAATTGTTCCAACTCTTCACGACCTCCTACAAAGGCTTTAAAGACGTGTTCTTCAAGATCACAAGTTATTCTTTAATGAGGAAAATCGGCCTAAGTTCCCCTTATATTGGACACAAAATCCCGCTTGGATTGACCCTAGAGTCCTCCATGATGACCCTTGAGGAATTCACATCTCTTGAAGTTTTGGAGCAATTGCATCACAAGTTCCCGACCATATATCTTTTGAAGTGTTCCCATTCTCGAAATCTCGACCAGGATGTTTATGGTAAACTATTTTTTCTTATTCAATATATTTTTTGATCGATTTTTAACTTGGCTAAGTCTTCTTTATTGTTACAAATATTATGGCTCGCACCAACCCGTGTAACCTCAACTATTTCAAAAAGTTATTGGATAAACGTCCAATAGGACTGGGTAGTGTTTGAGCTACTCCTGGCAACAACCCTTCGAACAAGGCTGATGGAGAAAGGGTCGGTCGGCCCTACTAATGCAACGTTGGTTTCCTTGTTCAAGTCTTTAACGTTCCTTCCATCACCACTGTATGTGTTGCTCTCATCAATCGGGAGGAGGAGGCAAGGAGGAAGAAGGGAAGTTGACAAGAAACAAAAGTCCATGGTTATTAATTGGAGAAAGTGAAATATAAGTAATGGATGAACATGAAGTCAACTTCCAGAAGGCCCTGAACCAGACGACCTTCTACATCTCATCCATTTGCCTTTATTTATTTTTGGTATATGAAAGTTATAAATACAATATCCTATATAAAAATAAGATAAACGACTCAATACTTAATACTTAATTGATACTTAATTACTTCAATTATTAGATTCAATTCATACTTTCTACAATTATTATCATTATTAATAGGTTTAATATCTCGTTAGATCCCTATTTTCGTCCAGAATCTCAAATAGTTCTCCTTCTTGTTTGACGTCTCAATTGGGTCCTTATGTTTGTAAAATTGAATCAAATAAAGGTCTGCCGTCAAATTGATCAAACACCGTTAAGGAGGGTGTTACGTGGCATGCTGACAGTGTAGTTTTAATTTACGTGGCATTGAAAAGGTGTCTGAAGTGTATTTTTTTCATTTTTGAATTAAAAAATGGAGTGCACAAAGGGGAAATAAAATTTAAACAAGGTCAAAGTGGGCAAAAGAAATTAAAATAAGTGCAACAACCCCTTTCTTTTTTGAAATCGGGAAAATGAGTTTTAGGGTTCGTGAGAGAAAACAAAATCGTTGTTGCAGAGAAAGGGGCAACTTCTCGATCGACATTTCCTCATCACGCTTCTTCTTCTTATTACACAACACCCTCCCAACGGATATATCTTCACCTTCTTCCTCTTCCCTTTCTGAGTCATGAACAAATTAATCAGTTACCATTGTTCTCTCTGTTGAATATTGGATTAGGCTTTCCGTGCTTTTGTATTTAGGTTTGTTTTTTTGTTTTTTTTTTCGCGTCTTGGGCAACCATTGCAATCAAACTTTTAACTGTTGCAATTGTTTTACCTAGCCAGGTTGCAAACTTTAGTGTAGATAGGTGAATCACAATGGTTTGGAAGTTATTGTAAAGTAACAATTTAAATAACTTAGTTTTTTTTTCTAATTCCATTCTTTCTCTCACTTTCCTGCTCAACAAGTTCCTCTCTGTACAGGTTGCTTCTTTTTCTTTTACTCCCTATGTCATTGCTTTATCGTCTTTCTGTTCAAATCATTTGACTTTTCCACCAATTAATCACAAATTCCAGAAAATTATTTATAAATCAATTTCTGATCATTTTCACCCTTTAGAGTTTATTTATGGAAACAACTTTTAATTAGTTTTTACTTCTTCACCAAATTCAATCTTAAAGTACCTAACATTATACCATTTATGTTCAAGGTAAGGGGTGATAACGACATTAGAGTTGTGATTCCTCTACCCTAAGCATATATTTCCAGGAGCCCTAAAACTCAACTTCCCCCAATTTGATTTCGTTTTCGCAATTGCAGAGGAGAATTGGGCTTTCAGCATACACTTCATTTTTTAATTCAAAAATTAAAAAATACAATTGACACACGTTTTTAATGCCACGTAAATTAAAACTACACTGTCAACATGCCACGTAACACCCTCTTTAACTATGTGTGATCAATTTGACGGCATACCTTTATTTGATTCAATATTTCAAAAATAAGGACCCAATTGAGACGCCGAACGAGAAGGGGACCTATTTGAGATTCTGAACGAAAATAGAGACTTAACGAGACATTAAACCTTATTAATATTATCTATTATTAACTTGAACACTTAAATGTCGATTTCTTGTTTACTGCACTATAAAAAGTCATTTGTAGGTAATTTATTTTTACACTTAGAGTTCTCTCTTCATGATTAAAAAGCTTAACTCTTGAGAGCCATGTACTCTCCTACATTATGTCAAATGAAGATAACTAATATATCAATAATACATTTATTCAACAAATTAGAACATTTTACTTTAGTTCTTCAAACCTTTTTCACATTTTCTTTTGAAAATGAGAAAATTTGTAAATTGTTCCCTAGAGAAGAAATATGGAAACCCTAACTTAAACCATTGAATATTTCTA